AAACGTTTCCAATTTCAATACACAATAATCAGTTCATGGACAACACAGAGAACCGAGAGTGTCCTGAACTGGTGGCTCTCCTGCGCACGAGAGAGGGCGCTGGATACGTTCCTCGCTCAGTCCGGGAGGCAGGCAGGAATATATCCTACGCGGGCAGTTGAGTTGCAAAAGACGGTGACGTTTGGTTAAAGGTAGTGTTGTCAGAGCTTCTTAAGTTTCTGAAGATTTGCTGAAATGTTGACACATACACACACACACACACACACACACACACATACTCATACACACACACACAGACACTCATACACATACACACACAGACACACTCATACACATACACACACACTCTCACACACACACACACACACTCACACACACACGGACACACACACACTCATACACACACACACACTCATACACACAGACACACACACACACAGGCACACACACTCTCATACACACACACTCATACACACAAACACACACACACACACACACACAAACACACACACAGACACACACACACACAAACACACACACACACACACACACACACACACACACACACACACACACACACACACACACACACACACACACACACACACACACACACATACACACACACACACACTCATACACACACATACACACACTCATACACACACACACACACACATATATGTGTATATATATTCTTATTTTCATTTTTCTTTGAATTTCATTCTCATATTCTTTACTTGCATATTTTAATTCTATATGTCTCTGATATTGACAAGCATAGCTAATTTCCATCGTAAAATTTTAATGTTTCCATTACAATAAAATTTATTAACTTGCATGAATATTCTAGAAAGAGAAAATATAAACAGGAACTTAGGTTAAACTTCGTGTTTAAATTTTACCTTTTTTTAAGATTATCTCGTTAGTATATTTAGAAATTGCTGAAAGTAAGTGTAGCATTTTTGTTAACACACACGCAGTAAAGGGAATAAATGCAGGTGCAATATAAAAATAATTGCAGTTTGAAAACAAAATGTAATCATTTTAAGTACAGATTCTATAACAATCGCGAATGTAATTAATAATTATATAACTGGTAATTGATAATGTAAACATGAGATTTAGAACGATAACTAAAATAAATAAATAAAAACACGGGGAAAAAAAAACATCTTCTCAGTTCGGCAACCTCCGCGGGATAAACAAAGAGAAAAGAAACGAAATTAAGAAATATATAAAAAAGGGAGATTAAGAAAGAGAGAAACGGTAGGAAAATAAGTAACAAGCAAGGAGAAGTGAAGAAAATGGGAAAAAGCGAGGGAAGTAGAGAGAAAGAGAAGGAACCACAGGGTGAGAGGTGTAAGTAGAATAGCTGTTAAAAGTATTGCATTTAATGTGAAACGTATTTTATAGATATGGTAAGGAAGCTTCTTTGTCCAGATTCGTTAATTCGTATAAAAGAGATAACAAACCAAACAACGAATGCGGAAAGAGAAAGAGAGAGAGAGAAAAGAATTTGCCAATTTCATATTCATTTTTTTTATTACCGTTACTCGGGTCTGAGTAAGATGTCATTTTGCTTATATTCAACTTATGGATCAAATTATATAAATGATGAAATAAACGTAAATTATAGGGTATTTTATCTTCAGAACATTCTGATACGTGTATGAAGATTTAAGGATAAACTTCCCTGAGTGCACATCCAATAAAGTTCTTCGTCGCAATAGATTTTACTTTAATTCTCGTTCTGCTGTCAAATCTGTCTCCGAAATGTATATTTAACGTGAAGATCCCCTATTTAAGTACCTCGAATCTCCTGTCAGTTTCTAAGTTCCGTGGAATCTTTGCATCTGACGTCTCGCGACTACACACAATATTTGAAGGATATCAGGTTACGCTGGGAGATTAATATGGAATTCCACGACCAGATATAGGAGTGGAATTTTTTTTATGGGGGTTTTGCTGAGATTCGATTTTTATATTTATATGTAATTCGGTAGGCCTATCGTGATTCTCACTAATGTGTATAAGGGAAGAGAGACTTCAGTTGCTGTCTCGTAATGGAACCGAAATGACAATCACTGATATGTAAAACTAATACGTAAATGCAGATGATACCTTCGTAGTTCTATATAAAAAGTAACCTAAGCGATTGTCTTCGCTTCCGAACCATCACCCACGTTCTGGTAAGACTAACCTCCTTAGCGGTTTATCACAAATGACACGAGATTCACTTGGAACAGTACCGCGTTTGCACCCAGTTCAGTGGTCGAGGCGCCGCAAGAGACACGTTTGGTGAGTCTAATTCGCGCATACATTGCACAACACTGAACGGTTCTGCAGGAACGACAGACTCAAACTGTACGTAAACTGTGGAATCGGTGATGCTAGACTTACATGCGCTGAACGTATACGTACACAATGCACGCGCAACAAAACTATGGTAGAGCTAGTTAAGTCGCATGTTCATTTGGCACGCGTAATATATGTACGT